GGTCTCTCTGTCTAATCAAAATGATCTGCCTAGTTTGAAATTTGAGAACACTCAGTGACACGGGTTCCTTCTCTACGAGGTTCCACCCAGGGACCAGGACACCAGTTCTGGAGGTTGTTCCTTTTTTGGTGGAAGTTTGTATACATACAACACACACTTCCACAAACATATGTGGCAGAACAAAAAGGATTCCAATCCTTTTGACTTCTTTCATCAAAATTACACAGGTCAAGAAACTTCCCTATAAGTGACATTTGTCATGCAATCTGGACCTGTATTTCAAGGTTCAGTAAACTACTTCCAACACACATTATACATGTTTGCCAAAGACAAAAGATGAGACAGAGAGTAGAAACCATGGGTCACTGGGGTCTTCTTTGTGCTCCTGTAGCTGTACACAGCTGTCAGGTGTGCCTGCATGGCTGGACTTCACACCTGAGAAAGGTCACTCGCCCAGGGCAAGTGTGGAAAAATCAAGTCGAGGTGGGTTTGATGGTGCTCCTTCATGACCCTGGGTTAAACTCAACTATGTGAGAACACTACAACATGTTGATTAAATGCACCATTGCATTGGGGTGCTCGAAAAAACATCATGCATTGGGTCAGTGCAAACCTGTGGTTTTTTTTTGGTGGGGGGGGTGCAATGCTTTTTTTATAGTTTTCAACAGCACCAGAAACCATTAGTCTGATTTTGTAACTGTGCTTCATATTCTCCAGCTAATATAAATTAATGCAAATTTGAGAGGAAAACAATAGCTGTATTGTACATCGTTAAATGCATTAACAAAACACAAGAGCATCTGAATACTAATATTTTTACAACAGTTGGGCTTTGTGGTTCTGAATGCAGTTATTTGTGAGGCACAGAGAAGGGCATTTGTGACCCAAAAGTAGTTTCTCCCAATACATAAGAAAGATGGTGAGAAATCTAAACCTGAGGCTGGGCAGCAGTTTTTAGAAGGGACAAGTGCAGTTTAAATGCATTGGCTAATGTTGCCTTCGGTCAAATTAAAGTCCAATGAAGACTTTTCTTTTTTCTCTCTCTCTTTTTTGTTTTAGTCAGGGTCTCACTCTGTCACTCAGGCTGGGGTGCAGTGGCATGGGTTATGGCTCACTGCAGCCTTGACCTCCTAGGCTCAGGCGATCTTCCACCTCGGCCTCATAAGTAGCTGGCACTACAGGCGTGGTGGACTCATGTGATCCTCCTGCCTCTGCTTCTCAAAGTGTTGGGATTACAGGTGTGAGCCACGGCGCCCGGCCCAGAAATTTTAATTTAGATTACCTTTATAGAGCAGAACATTTATTACACATTTAGTGAAACATGCAGATCTAATTTTACCAAAATATGCACTTACAATATTTTATGTATTATTGATCAAATTCTACACACACACATACACACAACACACACACACACACACACACACACACACACACACAGAGACCTCAATTTCAGTGCTAGAATGACCTCTAGAAAACTTAGGTGAGAAAATGCGCTGGCCTTTAGAAGGTAGTAAAATCACTTGAATGTGTTACCAGACATCTCCAAGCAACAGAGAGAGTGTCATTGACTTTCCAGTGGTTTCTGGAGCATAGTAGCACCCCCAGGACACAGCTGTGACATTTGGAACATGGTGTTTACTATTTCAAGAATCTCAAATGTCATAACTCTGGAGGGCTCATCTTCTGCTGAGGTGGCTCCCCCCAAGGACACAGTGCCCCCATCTCTGTGCCAGCATCTGGCTCCTTCTATCCCATCCGGGGACACGGGCATCCCCAAGCCCTGCTGCTTCTTCCTTTGGAATATTTCTCATGTGACCAGGGCTTTGGCTATATCATCAGGGCTCATTCCCTTCCTAGTTCTCTTCCTAGGGCTCCCCTGTATATACAACTGCTGGAATGATCTAGAAAAAGTTTTGCAACACAAGGCTCCTGCTTCATGCGCCACTATTGACTCCTCATTCTTACAGATACCAGGGACAACCTCCTCCGTTGGTGTTTCTTTTTGTCTCTACAGGGAGCTACGTGTATTCCCTCTGTGTGCTCTCTGGGATTCCCATGAAGCCCACTGCTGCCTGTCTCCCTGTCTGCACCTGGTCCACCCATAGGCATGCCCTGGAAGCCCAGCCTCCCTTCTCTGAGCATACTTTATTCCTGCGCCCAGCACCACCATTTTCGTTTGAATTGTTTCACATGTGCTTGTTTGTCTCTTCAGCCAGAAGCTTCCTCTCTGAAGGCTGGGACCATGCCATGTTCACCTCTAACGTGTACAGCATGTGCTGGGTCTCAGGAGACACTTAACGAGCACTTCATGTTTCAAATAGGAAATGCAGATATGTACTGGAACATTCTTCAACAGGAAGTACTCCAAATCCCCTACTCTTCTTTGCTAGAAGACCTTGAATATTGGCATGATAATGGTGAAACTGTTTTCTATACGTTTATTTTTACGTGAGAATTTCTCTTATATCCTCAGTCTCTATACCCATAGTCTAAAAAACTCTGGTTTAGAATTAATTTCAGTTTTAATTCTTTCTGGTTACACGGAGGGTTTTGTAATATTCTAACTATAACCATTCAGCATGGCTCTGAGGTACCAGAATAAAGAATTTAGCTTTCCAGCTCTATCTTTTCACGAACTCCAAATTTGAATTTCTTATTTTGGATGTGTTTCCTGGATTGAAATTGATGGTTGAGAGGTACTGACGTACCTAAGTCCTTATGTCCACGTGTGCTCCGTGGTCTGTCTGGAGGAAACCAAAGCATGTGGACAACGTGGCTGAGAAGGAAGCAAGGAAGGGAGGTCTGTGGAGAATAAGGACCCAGAAAGCTGATCCCAGTTCACCCACTGACTAGCTGATGACCTCGATTGAGTCTCTGAGCCGAGCTGTGCGCCTGTTTCCATATTTATGAGCGGGAAAGTTCCAGCCTGATTCTGTCTCAAGTATCCTGAGGCTCCTTGCAGCCACAAAACACTGGTTTGGCATGACATTTTTACCAGTGTCACCCTCACACAGGTGCTGCCATCCACAGAGAGCTACAGAAGCTCTCCGTTGAGTGTATTCGAGGTGTTTAACTGGGTATTTCCCATGGGCTTTCCATAACCCTACGGAGCAGGTATTTATTAGTCCATTGCTCACACGAGGAAACTGAGGCTTAGAAAGTTCAACGGGAATTGATGGAGGAGCTGATGTGAACTCCAGGTCGACATTCCCTCTTTATATCTAGAAATGCAAACAATTCCCTACCTCTGGCTTGACACCGGGTCCTTCTCCAGACATTGGCCTTAGCTGTGGCCAGGCTTTGCTTCTCAGGGTGATGTTTAACTGTAGGTAACTGATGGCTAAAGCATCTCTGGATCGCAGCATCTCTGGATGCTACAATTACTTTTGGTAATTGATGGCTAAAGCTGCTCTGAATTGAGCAGGGGCTGACCAGAGGATGGGGGAGACTTACTGAGAGCCACCTGTCCTGAGGCAGGAGCTCAGCCAGGGTCCCTGCTTGCAGCAACAGTGATTGTGAATGTGCTTGGTGGTCTCAGTGTACCCACAGCCACCCAGAAATCTTCAGTGGCCCTGCCCAACTGCACACATAGTCACCGAGTCACAATTCACAGC